CTTCTGGTTGGGTCTGGTCACTGACTGGAGGGTGGGAGGAGACTGATTTCAAGGCATTTATTTCTGATATCCCTCCTTTGAAGTCAGAGTGAGCAGATGATATCCTTTGATGGTTCATCACTGCTGCTTTTGTGACAGTTGTCGCTACCCATTCCTCTCTCCTTTCACATCCTAATAACCTTTTCTCCCTCCTTCCAGTAGTCTAGGGGAGGTGCTTTCTCTGCTGCTGTGAGTTGTAGGCTTCTTGACTATCGCTGTGGTTTACCTATATTCCACCTTTGTAATTAGTCCCTTGGTAAATTAACGCTCTTGGAATTACTTTAATTTGAGTGTGCTCTGTTCTTCATTAGGACTATGACTAATATACATACCATTTTACAAATTGATAATGAAGAGGAAATGACAGTCACATTAAGATGATTCTTATTATGCAGCCCTCCATCGTGGCTCTCAGGACTCTTATACGTGCTTTCTGTCACCTTTTCATTCTTCCTCAACCATTAACTCTTTTAATGATCTCATGTAGCAGTCAGGAAACATGGCTACAGCCAATTCAAAGCCAAGCCAGAAATGCTAAATTTGTTTTCCTAGATCTCTTTTCCATTGTTTTCCCATTCTTACTCTTCATCCAGTATTCCTTAGTCTCGCTACTCTTGGTACTGTGGACTGCAAGATCCTCAGAAGCAGAGATTTTGTCTTCTTTGTCCTCAGAGCCTGGAACAAATAAATGCCAAAGAACTTACATAATGAATACAAGAAAGATGGCATTGAGCAAAGTATTCAATCTTATGTTTCTAGGTAGCCTAGAAGTGGGTCTACTTCTCTCCCTTCCCTGATGATGAAGTTTTGCCTCAATTCCATCAGATGCCGACTCAGTGCATGTCTTGCCTCCATTCACAACACTGTCATTGTATTGTGACCAGTTGCAAGCTACTAAATGGTTTTCTTGTTGTTATTGTTTTAACAGCTTTATTGCACTATCCCTCACATACTATGCCATTCACCCATCTAAACTGTACAATTCTATGAATTTTAGCATAGTCACAGGTTATGCGACCAACACCACAATCACTTTCAGAACACTTTTATTATCCTCCTCCTCCAAAAAACTTCACACCCCTTACTCGTCTCTCCCTTTTCTCTCCACGCAGAAAGCAACCTACCTTCTGTCTCTGTGGATCTGCCAATCCTGAACACTTCATACAAATGAAATTATACTGTATGTGGTCCTTTGTTCTTTCACATTGCATTCTTTTTTTTTTTTTTTTGGAGAGGTTTTTGCTATAGGGCGCATGCGCTTGCCAGACAGACAGAGAGAGACATAGAGACAGAAAACAAGAAATCACTCCCCAGGGGGATGGTCACGCCGCAATCCCTTCTCCTCCATTCTCCTCTCGGGATCTTGGGCATGCACGCACACGTGCCCAGCGTGAGTTTTAAGCCACCGGGTCTGGGATGCGAACCGTGGTCGACTATGTGGGAGTCCAGCGACATAGCCATTACGCTATCTGCTGGTTCCCTCACATTGCATATTTTTTAAGATTCGTGAAAGTTGTAGTATGTATCAGTGCTTCATTCCTCTTTATGGTCAAATAATATTCATTGTATGGTTATATCATGATGGTTTTACCCATTTGTTGCTTAATGGACATCTGGATTTTTTCCACTGAATACTGGTAAGCCTTTAACAGCCAGCAATCTACTAATAATTTTTTTAACTAGTAAAATTTGTTTATCTCTATGGTATAAACATTCCTACTAGAGCTGATTGATCATAGGCTACCTGTTGTGACTGAACACAGAATTGGAATGATATGCTAAGACAGACATGTGAGTCCTTTTGAGCCAGTTCCAGCATATCACTAGCCATCTTTACTGATATGTCCCTCGAAGGACCAGAGACGTGTTCCTATGCAATGAGGTTTCCTCACACTACTTTAGTATAATAATGGTAATAATGAAAGTATATAACGATGAATTTATTGAGAACTTTTCATATGCCAGCAATGTACCACCCATTTTTTTCCCCTATATTTAATTCCTGATCACCAAGCACCTTGTTGGCAGCTGGAGCCTCCAAACTACCAGTAGCCTATTCCTGGTTCACCGTCTCCTAGTGAATCTCCCTGCTATTTCTGAAATGTTCCAAACATGTTACATGCCACAACT